AGGGAGGGAGGGAGAGAGAGAGGGAGGAGGAGTGGGAGGGAGGGAGGGAGAGAGAGACAGACAGAGGGAGGGAGAGAGAGGGATGAAGAGAAAGAGAGAGAGGGAGGGGGAATGGGAGGGAAGGAGAGAAAGAGAGGGAGAGAGACAGAGGGAGGGAGGGGGAGGGGGAGAGAGGGAGGGAGGGAGAGAGGGAGGGGGAGGGGGAGGGAGGGAGGGAGAGGGAGGGAGGGACAGAGAGAGGCCATCCATCAGTCCTCAGATGGAGAGTCAACAGCCCCCAGGTCTGGAGGTGACAGATGAAGAAGAGGAGGAACAGCTGAGTCCAGTGCCTGACGCACATATGCACAGAAGGCAGAGGAGAGGAGAGCAGTGGAAATCTATGGGCCGGTCCTTGGGATGGAAGAGCCACCACTGCAGCTAGCGAAGGCCCCACCCCTCCCTAGCTCTGGGGATAAAAGGCAGGGGGCAGAGATGAATAGGGATGACAGACAACTATTCATCTCCCTGCCGGACAGATTTGTCAGTCTGTTGTAAGAGAGAAACTTTTTGCCAGGGCTCCTAATAAAGGAATCATTGCTTCAACTCCAGAGGGTTTGTTGTGTTTGGGAAGCTGAGTCCGCTGGGTCTTGTAAGTCAAGGCACCACAGGACCGGACTGTCAACTCGTAAAACATTCCTATGCCTTGTTTTAGTAGTTGCCATTAAAAAAAAAAAGGGGGGGGGAGGAAGGAAATCTGGAAGAGCAGTGCAGCCGTTGGAAAGCAAAAGTACATTCCAACTCTTCTCTTTAAAAGATTGTAACTAAACTACCAGAGCTTTTGCCCGGGAATATATTTAATTGGAGAACATGAAAGATGACACCCAGCCTGTGAAGGGGCTCAATTGGAGAATCTGATTGATGACACACCCAGGGGGGGAGGTGGGGGGGAAACAGGTTCACAGGGGACTGTAAATTACGTGTGCCAGAGTTGGCTTCATACAGGGCAGTGTCAGTATGTCGCCTCTAATAAATCTTTTCAAGTGTTTTTGAAGTTTGGCTCAAGAATCATGATTTAATTAGGGCGATTGCTGGAATCCTGACACAGATGATTTTGCGACCATTTTACAATGGTTGTAAAGTGATTCACTGTTTGTCATTAAATGAATCGCCATGGTCATTAAGTGAAATGACTCCAGCTTATCCAATGGGCATTTTTTTGCCCCAAAACGAACCCCCCAAAATTGACATTGCAAATTGAAACATAGCAAAGGACTGTCACATGACCACAGGACACAGCGCCCAGGTCACATAGACTGAATGCCTAAAAGATTTAAAACAGGGGTCCCCAACCACCGGGCCGCGGACCGGTACCGGTCCGTGGAGCACTCTGTACCGGGCCGCAAAGAAAAAAAAATAAAAAAAATGGCGGCTTTCTTCGCCTTCGGTGAATGCTGCTGGGATCAGGGATCA